CGCCAACAGCTTCTTGCCTAATTGACGAATCAAAGCGTGCAGCAGCATCCCATTCGGTTTGAGTTATAAAAGTAAATTTCATGTGTGGAAAGGAATTTATCCCCTCATCGTCGAAAATGTTCATGGTCGCTGAAAGTATTAAAAGTGCGATTAGGTGTTAGGGGGCGCACCTTATTCAGCTAACTGAATAAACCTTGCACTGCCGACAGTGCAAGGGTGTGTGCGTCCGACCATCTCACGTACACATACGTACAGAGAAAGATTGCTATACGGAGTAAGATTACTCAGTAAAGGTATAAGTTATAGCTGTATTTAGTACAGTTAATCCCATTTTGATCAATCCCGATATGAACTCAGTTAACTATATCTGAAAACCAACTTGCATTGTAACTATCTGCGCACCTCTCTTTGCGATCTTTTGTCCTGACTAGACTTTATTAAATGACATCTCGATCACATACCAAATAATCAGCAGCGTGTTAATTCTACAAAGCAATACAGAAGAACTTGTCTAAATGGTAGCGCTAGGTCCATTAAATTTATTAGATTTGGTGCGTTATCAGTTAAGACATTTTTAATATGATTCCTATACTTCTACCTATGGTGCATCGCTCACTTTATAAAGTTACATCTACAGCTTAACTGGAAAACCCACATTGCACACCATTCGAACATGAAGCAGCGTGAAATATAGCACACGACAATGACAGATGAGATTCACATTGATCTGTTTCAGTACAAAAGAGACGACCATAAAGTCACGTAGAAGGAGCTTCGGGCATGGCTTTTGGTAAAAGACAGCACGAAGGTAGCCCAGTCGACCATTTCAGCTACCTTTAAGCGCTTTGAACATCTGCTAAACATGGCATACAACGTCAATCTCAGCCAGAAACGCCAGGGCAACGAGAGATATCCTGAGATGGAGGAGGCTTTGGCAGAGTAGTTTCATGCCAATCAGGATCGTGTCAACATGAGCGGCGATCTACTTAACGAGATTGCGAGGAAGATCTTGGACCGTATGTATCCTTACCATGCCACTTCCGACTTCCTTAATAACTGGCATGATTCCTTCAAGGCCTGCTATGGGGTCCGTTCGAATGCCGCTTTGGAGAAAGAGGATCTGTGAATTTGGCGCTTGTTAAGAAAGAGCGGCCCAAAGTTCGGTAGGTCTTGGACAAGTGCGCACTTGCGGACGTGTACAACATGGACGGAAAGGACTATTTTACTAGTTAAAGGTATCAATTAATTCCCTGCACGATTTATACTATGAATCATTGTAATGATTCATGTTACCAGGCCGACCATTGCCTTGCAGACAAGCGGCTGAAAGGTCAACAGCAGCATAAAGAGCGCCCCACTCTCGCCGTTTTCTGCAATAGGAAAGGTTCTGACAAGCTTCCTTCGTGGCTCATCGGACAATTCAAGAAACATCGATGCTTTACAAACACCAATATCAACAACCTGGGTTGCACCTACCGCAGCTACGCATAATCATGGACGACTCAATTAATTCTTCTTAAATGTCTCAAGAATTTTGACACTCGAATGGTTAACATACATGTTCTACTCATTCTGTACAATTGCGGCGCGCACGTGCCCCTGGCTGAGCTTCCTGATCGCATCCAGCTAAAAATAAACACATAAGTCTGCTACCTTCCACATAATACCACGTCAAAGCTGCAGCCTTGCGATGCTGGGATATTCCGGAGCTTGTAGGCCTATTTTTGGCGCTCTTGCAGCCGCCTCCTTTGGCAGTGAATGGAGGACAAGGTACTCAGTCCTGACAAGACCAGCATCCTGCAAGCAATCAAGATTGCAGTTCTGGCACGGAATGATGGGTTTAAACTTACGACCATCGCCAACCGCTTTAAAAACTGCAGTATCCGCAGCCCAGGGCAACTGGTAGTCGCCCAAGAGGAAGCCAACGCCATCGAAGATAAAGAGAACATTTTGGATCAGGAAATTATCAAAGTTCTAAAGTCACAGATCCAACAGTTCCGTTACAACGACTCAATGGATATCCGGACTCTTCTTAATTATTCAGATGAGGCGGTGGTAACTTACCTGCCGGACCTAGACGAGGTCAGTTAAGACCCCATTCCAACGGAGGCTGACAACGCAGCTGTGAAAAAAGACGACAGTGAGGCGCTTCCTCCAATTCAGGCTTCTGAGGCGCAGTAATGGTCTAAGCGCTTGAATTTTTTATTGGTTGCAGCAAGCGAATCGAGAGGACCGAATCGTGCGAACCCTGCAGCTGATAAAAGACAAGATCACGGCTATCAGAACTCGCCAGAAAATACAGAAAGACTTCAGATCTATATTGACCGAGCTTAAGTAGCACATGTGTAGAACTTATCAGTCCGGGTGCTGTAAGCTATTTTTTTCTCTATTCTGGTCAGAAATTTTACCAGATAGCAGATTACAAAGATTTATCAGTTCTACTATCCGTCCTAGGTCGGGACATGGACATTAATCGATTAAGACAATTTATCAGTTCAGGCAGAATTAATTCAGACAAGTTCCTTTAGATTATCTACTAGCTTAATTTTATAGATTAACTGTGTTTGCTTTGAAAGTTAATTTGTACCTTATACATACCTTATGTAAATTATCATGTAGCAGAGGCAGTTCATTACAATCCGTTAATAGGTCGTATAGGTGCCAGTAGGGAGTCAACTTAGCCCCAAAACATGAGAGAGTCACACTCCACCGCAGATGCCCCAACATAATAATGGGGTAACATCGGACAAAAAAAGAATTGGACTGAGGAGGGGGGGCGGAGAACCCGACAGAAATTGGTGGATGGAGAAGTCGTATCCTACGCCGATATATTCCTAGTATAATGAATTGTTCGTGACTCCATCCGTGAATAATTAAGTGCTACAATATATTTTTCGCGCAGTGTCAAAATATGTGCTACAAGTGAAAACCGTACCACCGATCGAACCGAATAAGACAGTACATTAGGCAATGAGATGGAAAGGTCAATAATCTAGGCGCACGTGCTCAAAGTAAGGAAAGCAATGGTGGGTAATACACAATACTATCACGCGTTCTGCTAAATGAGAGCTAGTCTGCTAATCCATCTTACTCCTGCTGTGTGAGAAAGCTTGTATCCATTGTCTCCAAATTAACCCATTATGCACTACATCTCTGTAACGGGGTGAATCGTTACATAACAATTTATTGGAAATTGTTAATAGAATATAACTATAAGAGTTTTCTTCTCAGAATATTGTCATAAGGACAAATATTCTGTAGCACTTACGAGTAGTTCCTAATTGGTTGATATAGGCCATTACATCAACCAACGAAGACGCGCCACGACAGACGCACGCAATGAGTGGTGAGCAGATATTTGACATGCACATTTGTATTCAACATAGTTAGATGAAGATAAATAGTGATTTATTAACTGACATTAATTATGATTAATACAGTTCTACTTTTTACTTTAACCAAGTACTCGCTTCTTCTTACCGTCTTCCTCTGCACGTACCAGTGTACGTGAAGTTACGAGGCACCGCCTTATTCTGTCATCAGAATAAGTAGCTTGTACTGTCACCAGTACAGGCTTCAGGGTGCGCTGTTACACAGACTGAGTAAGTGCGTCCTATACCTCACGTACAATTACTTCTGAGGAAGTTTACGTTCGAAGTATTGATACGTTGTATCCGTCAAAAGTAGAACTGTTTCACATATTGTTAATCATTTACAAATGGACTGTATTTAGTCTCCTTTTAACTCCGCCTAAATACAAACATGTGTTGTAATTATCTACTCATCACTCACTGCGTACGTCTGTCGTGGTCCGAAAATTTTGTAATTGGCAAAACCCGTATCAAACATTGAGCAGATTATTACGATGCCAACTGCAGTTAATATGATACGACAAGATAATATTCGAAGAGAAATACTTGTTAGCTAGATTTGTCATTAATGTATTATTGCGTACATGTCCCCAACTGTAACGGGGCACCCTTTGTTTGGGGTGCCGCGAAACTTCACGTACAATAGTACCTGCAGAGTAAGCTAAACTACTTGAAAGACATAGAGGCCTTACCAGCAGATCCTGATCGACTGCGTAGTCCTACTTTTCAAAATGAAATGGTCATCGCGGGATAGGCACCGTACCATCTACATTCGTCAAGACAACGCCGATCTCTACGTCTTATTTGACGAAATCAGTTGCTGCAGCAGGGCAAAAGGGCACTTGAAAAATCCGCATCTAGTTCCAAACTAGTCACTCCCCCGACTGCAACGTCTTCTACCTTGGGTAATTATGCTCCATCCAAGATCTTTCGTACAAAAATATCAACCTTACGGTACCGATGGATTAATTGCAGCGGTTACAGCACCGTTCAGCATGATCAGCTTAGCGACACTTACCCACATATTTCTGTCGCTGCAGTAGTCAGAGATTGTAACGGGGCACCCTGAAGCTTGTACTGGTGACAGTACAAGCTACTTATTCTGATGACAGAATAAGGCGGTGCCTCGTAACTTCACGTACACTGGTACGTGCAGAGGAAGACGGTAAGAAGAAGCGAGTACTTGGTTAAAGTAAAAAGTAGAACTGTATTTATCATAGTTAATGTCTGTTAATAAATCACTATTTATCTTCATCTGACTATGTCGAAATACAAATGTGCATATCAAATATCTGCTCACCACTCATTGCGTGCGTCTGTCGTGGCGCGTCTTCGTTGGTTGATATAATGGCCTATATCAACCAATTAGGAAGTACTCGTAAGTGCTACAGAATATTTGTCCTTATGACAATATTCCGAGAATATAACTCTTATAGTTATATTCTATTAACAATTTCTTATAAATTGTTATGTAACGATTCACCCCGTTACATCACCCCCCCCTTAACCATCAGTCACTTTAGTGACTGATTGACTAAATGGATACTCGTCCCAAATCATTTGAGACGGGGTTTGCACTTGTTGGTCCGAGTCCACTTTCCAACATTTCATCGCATGGTTAACAAGCCCATGCGATGCGCGAGCAAGGCCGCCGAGAGCGCGTCCGCACGGAGACGTGCGGACGTCGAAGTAGAAACCACAGCGACTGATGTCTCATCGGTTGCTGAAGCGACTCAGCCTGTGTCACTTGGTGATGCAGGCGCTCGTCATGAAGACACTCATTTTCTTATAGAGTATGAGCTCGGTGTCTCATACTCTCCTGATACGGAAGACGGATCCTTATCGACGGCGATTGAATCCAAGCCGCCTGCCAAGCGTGGCATGGATGATGCTATGCGTCGCAGCATCTTTGGTTCATCTGATTCATCAGATGAACCATCGCCGAAGCGAAGGCGCTCGAGGTCGCGAGACTCGGGCGCTAATAGTGGTGTCGGTTCTCCTATGGACACCACTTCGCAACGAGGTGCCAGTCCTTCCGTCGGAACATCGCAGGAAGAGCGGGACCGCAATGTCTTGCGTCTCGCTCCTGAGAAGAAGGCATGGATGCCTCCCAAATCTGTCATGGATCACTTGTCGGCGACGACGAGTGATCGTTATCGAACACGATTGTTCGATTCGTCAAGGATCCATCACCTTGACCCCAGCGCGAAGAACTATCGCGCTGAGAATGAATTCTTCATCGATGCTTTCTTTAGACATCGATGGTACAGTGGGAATCACAAGCGTGATGGTCCCTCACTACTTCAAGCGTGGAACGCCTACATCCATAACCTTGAGGATGTAGGTCGTGACGCTTGGAACGACAAACTTATCAAAGCTCGTGATAAGTTTAAAAGAGAACCCCGACAGGTGCACGCTTTAAGCTGCATCGTCTGTCAATGGAGAAGGGATTACCCTGCCTCTCTTGGGGAGACTCGTGCCCATATTGTGTGAACAACTCTGCACGAGCACCTAAGGAGGCCTACCTCTTTACTAGCCCGTGGTGGCGCGTACGTATCTCTATTGAGATGTACGAAGGGATTGACAACCTGAAATCCCTCTACGACCGTGCCGGGAAGACTTTCTCCAGCGGTCCTTCTACGGCACAGGATGTGCCGCATCGTACTGCTCGACCAGACCCAGTACGTCAATCATCAGTTGGGAGCGGGGCTACCAAGTATCCCAGGACGGGGGATAGCCGCGCCACCGGACGAGATAACTCATTAGACGTCCGTTCACGTCGCGGTGGTTCAACAGCTGCTCAACCAGATAGCGCTGGCCACCGCGAGAGTCCACTAATGGAGGTGGAGGAGGAGGGGAGACGCTCTCCACACAATCGTGGGGATGCGTGTGTACCCGAGAGCTTCTGTGATCGCGTAACGCAAGGGTTACGCGGCGATCTCGAACATGAGCGAGACAGGCGTCTCCAACTGGCGGACGCTGTCTCAAAGCATCGAGCTGAGTTTGCCTTTGCTCAGCTTGAGAACGAGAGAGCTCTTACATCTCTTCGTGACGAGCTAAGGGTAGCTCGTGGGATTGTTGATCGGTCTCGGGATGAGATAAATGCTCTTCAGACCCTTGTTGATGCCCACCATCGGGAGCACAAGGCTCTCTGCGAGATGCTTGAACGCAAGGGCGTTCTTCATCGGAAGAAGCAGCGTACTGATGGTACGGCTTAAGCCGACCAACATAAAACGTGGGATGCGTTCGCATCTTGCGTGGTAATTCGATCGTGTATGCATTGCCTAGGCGGTGCAATACACGAAATGGGCCGATGTACTTGGGTAGTAGTTTACTGCTACCCAAGTTAGTCGCTACATGCTTTGGTAGATTAACCGTAGACAGTAGGACTAAGTCACCTTTATTAAATAAAAGAGTGTTTGCCCTTCCATTCTTGTCAGCGCTTTGCTTTTGCTTATCCACCGCTTCGGCGATGGAATCTTGCACAAAACGAACTACCGTTTCACGAGCCAGTATGAACTCATCTGATGACTCGTTAGCTTCAGTGCGCTGTGAGTGCACTGCAGCAACAACAATCTTTTCTTCAGTGAGGGCTTCCGCACTCTCACTGGCATCATCTTCTTCGATATCGATGTTATCGATATCGGCATCAAACGCAATGACTTCTTCGTCAGAGCGTGATGAGCGTGAACCAAATCGGTTTTTGCTCGCGCGAGTCCCTCCCCCCCTTAAACCAGAGTTACACTCTAGTAAGGTGGGTACACGCGGATGGCGCAAGCCATTCACGTAAAACGGTGTATGTGTCGTGGACGCATGCACCGAGTTGTTGATGGCAAACTCTACCATTGGCAAAAACTCACTCCAACTCTTAAAGGAGTGTACGTATCCTCGAAGTATCTCTTCAAGGACACGATTGGCACGTTCCGTCTGACCATCTGACTCTGGATGATCAGATGTCGACATCTTCAAACGCGTTCCGAGTGATTTGAACACGGAACGCCAGAAATCAGCAGTGAATCGTGGATCTCTGTCTGATACGAGTTCACGGGGCAACCCATGAAGTCGGAAGATGGTGTCAATAAAGACACAAGCACAGCCACTTGCCGTGATTGACTCTGATACAGCCACAAGGTGTACCATTTTGCTGAATCTGTCAACAAATACGAGAATACCCGCATTCCCGCGTGCGTCTTTGGGTAACCCGAAGACAAAATCCATTGAGATGGATTCCCAGCACTCAGCCGGAGCCGGTAGAGGCTGTAAAGGTGCACGCAGTGAAGGACTGGACTTCACTCGTTGACAGACTTCGCATGCGCGAACATACTTTTGCACAAACTGATACTGGCGGGGCCAGTAAAAGTCCCGACTCACCGTGAGATATGTTTTCTCCCGGCCACGATGTCCTCCTATAGGAGCATCGTGATACTCGAACATGATCCGCAAACGCAGATCAATATCATCTGGAATGACAACATGTGGTGTGTCACCAGAAACGGCTGTATAGTACAGTAAACCGTTGCGAGTAGTGCATCGATCTGATGCAGATCGATACGCAGACGACAATAGTTTCAACGATTCTCGAGATGGCTGTGAGAGGTGTGTCAACAACTTCACAATCTCACCATCTTGGGCATACGCCCGCCTCACATCATCATGCAACGTTGTAGATGGGACTGAGGACGTCATAACCGCAACAGTGACTGTCTAACTGTTGGGTTTCGCGACTGTTTCAAAGTCGGGACGACGTGAGAGTGCATCAGCGACGACATTAAGTCGTCCTGGTTTGTAATCGACCGTAAAGTTGCATTCTGCAAAGAATGACAACCACCGCGCCATTCGTTGTGAAAGGTGCGGGCTGTTCACTGCCGTGCGTAATGACGCATGGTCAGTGTAAACAATGAAGGGTATATCTCCTAATAGATAGACTCTGAACTTCGCGAGTGCATACTTCATGGCAAGGAGTTCCTTGTCATGCACTGGATAGTTCCGCTAAGCTGGTTGCAGCTGACGCGACTGATAGCAGACGACGCGTTCAACGCCTTCAAGATCGTACTGCATTAATGCACAGCCGATTGCGAAATCGCTGGCATCACAGACCACATGAAATGGCCTGTCCTGATCGGCTTTGCTAGGACTGGGGATTGTATCAAGATCTGCTTGATACCATCAAAGGAGCGCTGACATTCAGCGTTCCATAACCACCTCTCGTTCTATTTCAACAAACGAGAGAGGTGCACAGTCATCTCGGCGTAATTGCGTGAATACTTATGCAAATACGCCGCTAGCCCAAGGATTTTTCGAAGACCTTTGACATCAACCGGCACAGGCCAGTCGGTGATCGCCTTAATCTTTTCCGGATCAGGACGTACACCGTTCTTACCAACGATGCACCCAAGAAGTGGTATTTCGCTTGCTGCAAATATACACTTCTTGAGGTTTGCATACAATTGATGCTTTCGCATGATTGTAAGAACCTGTCGGACGTGGTACCTGTGGACCTCAACGTCCGACTTTCCACCCATAGCTCGACTATGGATGAATACGTCATCGAAATAACTCGGCGCGAATTCTCGTACTGGTCTCAACAGATGTGATACACATCTGTTGAACGTGGCAGGGGCATTACTAGCCATTCCCAGAGCATGCCGCTAAGCGTTATAACTGCGGTATATGGCATATCCCGTTCTCGCATAAGGATTTGATAGAAGCCATCCATCAAATCCATGGACGAAAAGATGGTACTCTTTGACATACCATCAATGATTACGTCCTTCCTCGGTATCGGCGTCTGAGCCGGTACCGTTGCAGCATTCAACTTGTTAAATGCATGCACTATCCGCCACCCTCCTGTTGCTTTTCGCACACAGAAGGTCGGAGAGCTATGTGGGGAAGTTGATTCCCTCACATGGCCCGCAGCTAAAAGATCGGCAAAGAACTTGTCGATCGCAAGTAATTGTTCACAAGGCAGTGGCCACTGCTTTATGACACAGTACTTCGAGCCTGGTTTAAGCTCGACCTCGTGTCGAATACTTTTATCCTTCGGTAATTCGCACGGAACAGTTTCAGGTAATACATCCTTGAATTCAACCAAATCTTCATAGAGAGGATTTGTCTTGAGCGATTCCCACGATTGGGAGTCATATCGCTCAATTCGTGTCTTTTCATCTAGGACACTCTCGTCCATAGATGAACTACTGAGAACTCTCTCGTTCTCAGTGAACACTGTTGCTGATCTTATTTTGTCGGCTACACACTCGTCGTCAGCGACGAGTACGCAGATCTGCTTGACTTTTCCACTACGCAGATCACGCAAGAACCTTTTATGTTCGAGCGTTGGCAACTGAGTGATCTCCGAAGTTAACTTCGGAGGCGCAATCAGATCAAGTGTATAAGCGCCTACACTTGATCCGTTATTGACTATGACATTTAATGTCTCTGTCATTTCCTGGGGACTTATTCCCTCAGGCTTCGAAGGACTTATTCCTCCGGCTTCCCGGGAACTTATTCCCGCGGGTTTCGGGGAACTTTTTTCCGCCGTATTTGTAATATCGGGACTTATTCCCTTAACTTCCTCTAGCTGTGGTTGCGCAACCACAGCGAGATTCTCTACGAAGACTCTCCAGTCGATCTAGGATTATCGTTTCGCTTAACCTGAGCGATCGATTGTTTATCTTCTAGATGCTCCCCGCTAGGGATACATCTTTGTCCCGGTCCACTCGACTTATTTGAGTGGTGGACCTTCGGCGCAGCCTGTGTTTCCTCACAGCCGCCGGAACTTTGCTCCGAAGTGTAACCGTTTGTTACACTAAGGTTTTGTGCAGTCGTACTAACGACCGTACCACAAGTGAGGCCATCGCACTCACTCGTAGTACATCCACACGCTTGTGGACGCTTCAAAACGTTCATCAGATGGCCATCTGATGAACAAGCGGCAGGCATCGTTACTGTTCGATGTTGCCAGTTTACCCGTGATTCGTACCTTCTGAGCCACGGTATTCCAAGGATGACATCAAATTTGGCATCCAAATCCAATACGATAAATTCATCATCATACTGGGTCTCTTCTAGCGTATAGTGGATCTCCACTTTACGTTTCATTACGGTTACGGATGCGCCTGTCGCAAGACGTACCGTCATCCTCGTAGGAGGTGTGTCACATTCACTGAGCTTAAAGTGACCTTCTTCTAGCGATTGGCGCCGCACAAAATTGTTGGACGCCCCACAATCGACTAGAGCTCGAAGGGACAACTTATTCGTCACTTCGAGTTTCAAGGTAATGAGTGAGATCTCATTATCTAGAGCAGCAACGCACAACGTTTGTGTGTTGGGAGCAACCTTCATCAAGAGGCCTACAAATTCTCTTGACGTTGCTGGATCAGTAGGGTGCTCCGCACCTACTGATCCTGTCCTTTTTTTACGTTCCATCCCGTTGTTGCGTCTTTGCACCAACAGCGGACCCGCGTCCCTGCCCCTTTCTCATGGGTGGACGGTCACTACGCCCAGTGTTGCGAGACACTGGACGAGGGGCACTACACTCATAAGCGTAGTGTCCTGTCTTTTGACATGTGTTGCATCTCTGCAACTTCTTGTAGTCTGCAGAGCGAGCCTTCTCGCTCTCTACATAACAGAGTTCCAACGGCTCTGGACCTCCGCTGTCATAACGTCTCGGTTGACGATATGATGTCGAGCTGGCGCGATCCTGTCTCAGACTGAAGTCTTCCTGCTCCGCAATGGAAATGGCTTGTTCTAGTGAATCTAGTTCAAGCCGGAACAGGTGAGTCTTGACGGGACCATCCGCAAGACCCTGCATGAACACCGAAACCAACGTGTGTTCATCCACCGGATTGGAACTTATACAACTCGTGAGATGTCGTATATGTTGTGCGTAAGCGTGCACATCACTCTTACCTTGCTTGAGCTTCAAGAGTTCAGTTCGAGCTCTGGACTCAGCTCAAGGCGGTTCAAACGTTTGTCTGAGCCGCGACATGAAGCCTTCCAACGACCCAAACGCATATGGGTCGTGCAGCTTGAGCCCCAATGCCCAAGTCTTGGCACGGCCTGCTAAATTTGAATGGGCAAATGCGACTTGCAGATCCCCGTCGTCGATGCGACGCGCCCTTATGGCGTCATCCAATTCGACAAACCATCTCAGGAGGGAGTCCTCTTCGATTCCCCTATACTTAGAGATGTCAATCTTCAAGGTCTCGGGTCGACGCGAGTGCATCGACCCACCAGCAGCAGCCTGCTGCTGTCTCAACAGTTCAAACTGTTGAGCACCCTGTTCTCTCAACAACTCTGCTTGTTGAGAACCTTGTGTGAAGCAAGGCTACTTTCTCGCGTTCAGCGTCAAGTTCATTTTGGATGAACTTGGCGATATTAGCATGTTGGGCATCTCTATTGAGAGCCTCTAGCATGACGCTAACAGCATGGATGCCCATGGTTGAACCCATCCGTTCAACCGCATCCCATTCGACATCGCTCAAATGGGAGTAGCCGTCACGCGTAGCGTGAAAGCTTTGGTCATCATCATTATCCAACATATTCATGTTAGATGTGAACGTGGTCCTTGGACGGACTACGAAGTGCTACCAGGTGTAACGGGGCACCCTGAAGCTTGTACTGGTGACAGTACAAGCTACTTATTCTGATGACAGAATAAGGCGGTGCCTCGGAACTTCACGTACACTGGTACGTGCAGAGGAAGACGGTAAGAAGAAGCGAGTACTTGGTTAAAGTAAAAAGTAGAACTGTATTTATCATAGTAAATGTCTGCAATAAATCACTATTTATCTTCATCTAACTATGTCTAAATACAAACGTATAAATCAAATATCTGCTCACCACTCATTGCGTGCGTCTGTCGTGGCGCGTCTTCGTTGGTTGATGTAATGGCCTATATCAACCAATTAGGAACTACTCGTAAGTGCTGCAGAATATTTGTCCTTATGACAATATTCTGAGAAGAAAACTCTTATAGTTATATTCTATTAACAATTTCCAATAAATTGTTATGTAACGATTCACCCCGTTACAGTCTGTGTTTAGTGTGAGTAGATTGCACTGTGTCAGTGTTAGTAAGTTGCACAGTATCAGTACTATCGTTTGAGATATTGTGCCTTCTTATTGAGTTGTCAATGTGGTGTCTTGCTAATAAATACAAAAGTGATTTCAATTGGGCCCTTCGTTCTCAACGCGAGCTGCTACTCTTAACCCACTAGGTTCTATGTAGAATTATTAATAAAAATTCAACGGTCGACTTCTATACGTTTACGTCCTGCAATGAGTACTTTCAGTCCATAATCTTTCCCGAGAATAGATTGCATAACGTGCACTTGCGCTTTCGGTCTACAATCTTTCTGGAGCGGGAGTGCCTTGCGCTACAGTCTGAGGCTTTTAGTTCTTTTTTATGGATTCTTTTCCAAAACAGAAAACGAGTAGTTCTGCAACAAATTGCTTTACCTTTAGAGCTCGCAACTACCTTTTTGAATGTAGTTTATGATAACCCCAATACCAGTGGGTGTAAGTTTGTGTCGGATCGTTTTTTCACCATGCTCACGATACCGATAAATGACAACCTGCCATACGTAGGTATTAATGAATTAAAAACATTTTGGTGGTAAAATGACTCGGGGGTATCGCATGCGGACGCACTGGGTTGGTCTTTTAAATGTTAAAAAGTACAAGACTGTAAAGACTTTGTACCATGTCCGGTCTAATTTCGTTCCACTTGGGAAGGACACCCAAGTGAGCTGCTCCAAGATTATCGAAAAGAGCGGGTGTCAAGCACTGCCGTGGGTTCGTTACATCACTTGTAGAACGGCACCATTTTGTTACGTAAGGTGTGAAAAGTGATTGGTTGGACGAGCGGGCGATGATCGTTAGAACTGGATGTGTACATCGTGTTTTTTGTAAAGATGATTACGAGTGGACGGTACATTACCTTGATCAGAGGCTACGCGAATTTCTTGCGCGCACATATGGCAGCATGAACTCAAGTGCGACGAGTAAGCGTGACAGCACACGAGCACGAATGCAGGAACATTGATGTTGAAGCTGTCAAGCAAGGCCACACTAGCGACTTATAAATTTCGACAGACGTTTGCCCTAGTGACCGCTTTGTCTCCCGTATAGTCGGCGCAGATCGACGGGCGGTGCAGGTGTTTGCTATTTTACGATGTGGCGTATTTTTGTTCACACTCTCACAAGATCGAGAGGTACGAGGTCCCATTTCTGGAGGGTACCACAACTGGGACATCAGGATTACGGAGGTACCAGTACCGGGATAGACTCGAGGAAAACATAGCTGCTGACTACAATTCGTCGATCGGACATTGGTGGTGTGGTAAGGGCAGGTCAGAGTTGTCATGTGATAGGTAAATGCCAACCGTTTCTGTCCCGGCCAGAAATTGGCCACAAGGTTGACCCGACCTCAATCTTTTGGTCCGAGAAAACGTTCCTTGCTTTTCTGTACAATAGTCTCAATCCTCTTACTCAACTACTCTCGAGCCGCTGTGCCCGTCGAAACCGTGTTGATTTAAATACCAGCATTTGTCAACTTTACAACGTTCACGTTACGGTGCGCGCTCGAACTGTTGGCATTGACCAAAGAATGCTCAGGACGGCAGTAGTTTATGCCTCCTTAACGGCCGTACCATCATACCCGGTAACTAAATGTGTAATGGCTCAAAACTAGATGACCTGGAACATCTGTTTTTTTGTACCCACAACTCGGTGCCGTCTCCTCGCCTCTTGTTCGTTGCCAAGACCACAGCTTTCTGATCCACACTTAATCCAACGGCCGGCAGCTGTGACGGTCGCAGCTTTACGCCACAATCACGTCCCACAAGCAGCAACAAGTCACTTGTGCCAAGGTGAAGCTGTTCAATACATTTGTATACTATGTGACGACAAAGCTCCCGCCCACAACACCTCATCTCAACCTTGAAAGTGCTTCTCTCGCCGCCCAAATGCTTTCCACGCAAAGCTAAACTCTATCATTAGTTGTGTATCATGACGCATGCTGATTACCTCACCGCAGACAACGATTTTTGGGCTTGGGCGACGAGAGGGATCGCAGAGCACAACTTAGAAGCACTAATTATGTAGACTTGTTTACTGAAGAATATGCAATGGGAAAGGTAGTATAAGTCAAATGAGGTTGTTTGGACCGTCCCCCTGACGAGCGGTGCTGTAGTTTAGTCACTGCTTCAAGTCACCAAATTTTTTTAATTTTTTTTTATTTTATCTTTGTTTTTTAAATTATATTTAAATTGAGTTTTATTCATAGAATATTATTATTAATTTTTTTTGAAATTTAAATTTTGTTTTATTACGAGAAACACGTTTATAAATAATTGTTTTTTGATTTCTTAGACGTTTTTGCACCACCCCAAGACTAGCTTCCTTTCGATACAATCTTGAGTACAAATCGATATATGCATAATGGAGACGACACAGCGTGCTGCAGCGCGGGAAGCATACGTACCTCGAGCGAGGGAAGCATACGTACCTCGAGCGCGGGAAGCATACGTACCTCGAGCGCGGGAAGAATACGCACCTCGAGCGCGGGTAAGGCATACGTTCCTCATGGAAGTCTCGAAGAAAGCTCGAGATTTTGATCCGAGATGAATTTTTACACGAAAACCTTCATCATATGTAATGGTATTGACGTAAATGACACAGTGGCTGGTGATGACGACTGATCGAGGAGGACAAGCTGCTGAGGTTACGTAGCGGAATGCAATGACAACTGCTGGTTCTTGCATCGTAGCTGGACCACCACGTGACAAGAGCTGCACAGAAAAAGCTTCCACAGATACTTTCTGCTGTCTTTCTCCAGCCGCTTCTTCTCCACTCATACTGGGTTTCAGAAGCCACAATGCGATTGTATGATGATTGTGCTGCTGGTGCTCATCGTTTGAGAAGAAGCACCCTTTTATGCAAATGTGACACGGATACAAACCTGGTCCGGACGCCGTCGGTCGATGAGCAGCCAATTCTACAGCGACAGCACTGAATTTTTCACTCCTCCGGATTGCTACACCACCCATGTTTGACGTTCACTTTTGCTTTTGCGTTTCATTCTCTTGGTCTTGCTTGACCGTCTGCTTCGTTGTGTCATGAGGTTCTCTCTCATCTTTGCACTGTATTTAGGTGGTGTGCAATTGATCATGGCGGACCTCGCCTTAGATCACAGCGGCCCTGAGGCTGCGGCAGCTGGTGCAACTGCACGGAAGATCAGGACCACCAAGAGACTGCTGCCGGATGCTTCTGTTGGGCGGCAAGAGGAAGAAGATCGCTCGGACAACGAAGTAATACTGATCAAGGATATGGTGTTGAAACAGCTCAAATCTCCTGACAAATTTCTTGGAATCAGTAAAAAGATCGTTGATCTGTTTGAGCCACAAAATCCGTCAGTGGTTTCAGCCGCCCTCGCAGATGCCGTCAAGGACAGGGTTACCGGAGAAATGCTACGTCTGTGTGGTTTGTTTGTTCGGGTCCACATACGTGAGCAGGAGCATACAAATTCAGCAGTCGAAACTTTCGCAAGGCTCAGGCTCAAAAGTTCGTCAGAGCTTCCGCCTGGGACGACGCAGCTTGGTCAGGACGCTATAGTTGTTCGCGCTCTCCTGAAAGAGTGGAGCATGAGGGGGCTGGCCATCAAAGTGCATCGGGCAAGTAAAGCGCCAGCGTCGCAGGAAAAGGCGGAAAGGGTCAAAGCGGCGCTGTTCGAAGAGTGGTGCCACGTGTATAATCCCGAGCAGCTCGGAGAGGCGCTTAAGAAAGCTGCGAGGCGGAGCGATCCGCCCGGTGATTCTGCCATTGTCAAGGTAATTGTAGCTGAGTACAGGCCATACTACGAAAAACGCGCTTCCGAACTGGCAGTGCTGGACCGCCTAAATGAACTCGCGAAAAAAAGTTTAAAATAAAGTTGCTTTCTCTATCTTGTTTGTCTATCTCTGTTGTGCTTCATCCTATCGTTTCTACCTTTTCAACTTCCCTTGCATAACTGGTGCGAATGGGTACATCTTGGTCGAACCAATGCACACTCTTGAATTGACTCACGTACATGTCTACTACAGAGCTCTTATTGAATGGCTAGCTAGCCTGCGGTAGCAATTCGAGCTCAAGAGACAGACGACATCGTAGTACCGCCCCCTCGCATCGGATGAGAAGCTGCGGGTCGGTCCAAGGGCGAATTGCAGCTGCTGTAATACAACAACCTTAAGTCCGACCGCACAGATCGTCGGATGCCTGCGCCGTCCTGTGTGAGTGTATGTTCGTTTGCAGGTTCCAATGTCAACTGCGTTGCGGTCAGTCAGGAACTTTCAGTAGATAATTAGTCCATTTCACGGAGAGCGTGGATATGGCCAGTCACATGATTTTACGCTCGGGTCACGTTGGTGCAGGACGATGCTCGTGAGTTGTTGGAGGTTTTTGTGCCTACGACGATCAGCTGGTGTGGTCTAGAAGGAGGCATTATATGCCTTATAGTGGGAAGAGGGTGGGGGAGTGAAATCTAGGCTACCGTGGACATCGTCTCGCTCTAGGGCGGTTCATTGCAGAGTCAATATTTGTCTGCAGAGTACCAACGTAAAAGCCGCAATTGCAAGATCGTTGCTGACAACATTCAACTAGTCGGTGAGGCGTAACGCGGTGCAGTGCTGAAAGTACTGATTGATCGTCCTGAGACGATTCAAGCGGTCTAGTCCCCTGATTTTTGTTATCGGGCTTTGCATAGCTCAAGCAAATGCAAACGATGTGGGACAATGGCTGGATTGAATCAAACTGAACAGGACTGGCGGTGTGAACTATACAACGTTTAAGCGTCCGTTCGTCCGGTGCCTATGGATGTGCACATTCAGGGCTTTCCGGAGCGTCATTACGTGGCGCGAATAGCGGCAATGAACAAGCCGACATTCATGGCTATCAAGACGCATTGTCCTGACAAGCCTGTGCTTCTCTTTGTGTCTTTTAAGGCTCAAACTAAATTGACAGCGCTGGACTTGATCCAGTTTCTGCGTTGCGTCGGGCGAGAATGGTGATGATAGCAAGCGTTTCCTGAAAAAAACGAAGCAGTCATGGATTCGATTTGCTAGTCGCACCAGATCGTGGACGAGACTCTTAGGTACAAGCTCTCCTTCAGTATTGGCCTTTGTCACGCTGGGCTGGCGCGTCGAGACGGTGAAGTAGTCGAGAGCTGTTTATAGGTCGTCTCATGCAAGTAATCTCGACGTCAACTCTGGGGTGGGGTGTAAATCTTCCTACGCACCTTGTCGTGGTCAAAGGCGCGGAGTAATTTCAGATTGGACGATACCGTTCGTAACCTTCATGCGACTTGCTGCAAATGATTGCCGTGATGGCCGCCCCCTACTGGATGACAAGGGGATTGCGTGTGTGTTAGTAAAACAAAGCAAGAAGAACTTCACACAGCGATTTCTGCACGAACACTTGGCTGTGGACTCCTGTCTGGGTGGGAACGCAATGCACCACATCTTAGCCAACCAACCACTCGGACGCGGAGATTGCCGCCGGATCGATTCACATCCATAAGAACGTGATGGATTACTTGAGCTGAAGCTTGCTGTTCCAGCGTGAGCTCAAGAATCCAGGCTTCTACGGTGTTGGGCTGCTGTGGCGGCCATCTACTTTCCTGTGGCAAGTGGTGGCGTTTAGAGCAATCCAGGAAAGCAACCAAATAAACCGAGCGAGCAAGACGATTTGGAGAAGTCCTCCCAGCAGCTGATAACAACAACGATGCAGCAGTTCGAGTCGAGTAACTGCATAACAACGTCGCAAGCTAGTGGCCTGCCATCCTTCGATCCAGCGTTCGCTGGAAAGCTTCCAGCTGCACTCTATTTGGATGTGCGCACAGTGTCCAACGTGTTGACTGCTATGCGAGCTGCTACCGTGGATATAGCAGGACCAGACACAGCAACAGCAACGAACACATTGCTGCTGCTTTGTGTAATTTGCGAATCCAGCACGGAGCTTCGTGACCACCCGTTGCGTCGTAACAAGATCACGAGCAATTTGATCGTAGATGTTTGCACGAAGGTGAAGTTTTCGCCATTGAAGCATTTGTACTCAAGATCTCTGAAGCGTCAAGACTGTTGTTGGAGACCCATGACAGTGAGGTGAAGGCATTGCTAGTGCTTCAGATGCATCGGACGGGTATGCGTCTACCGTCAAGTGATTTCGCAAACAATCGGCGTATGTTGCTGGACCACGCGCCGCGTCTGCTGAGCGCTGCTATCGACCTCTGTGGTCATCTAAAGCTCCCAGATCTAGTATTTGCTGGAATCCGTCTATCTCGAGCTGCCGTACAGGGTCGATAGCCAGACAGCAAGAAGGTGCTGCGCTGAGGATATGTCGACGGAGGTTGCCGATAACTTGACGAGCGACGAGCTCTTCGCTTTTGAAGTAGCGACTGCTTGGTGCTCGGTTTTGTTTTTTGGTCTTGCAATCCGCAAATCTTCGCCATGTGTAAATCCGGGCGTCGACTAGGTTGAGGTAGATGTGGTCTACGGCGTTGCTGAGAAGAGTTGAACGCAGCATCGAAATTCAGGGCTGCGGATATTGACGCAATCGCATATGAAAAGAGTGGCAAGTGCGTGGGTGTCCACGCACTTGGACATCAGATAAAGATAATGAGTCGAAGTCCGCGGTAGCCATTTTGTCTTGCAAGTTGAAACGATAGTCGATCAAGCGCAATCACTTCGCACGATTGAGTCTGAAAACAGTCGAGAGAATGTTCCAGTAATCAGCTGTTTTCGACAAAGTTTTCATGGACATTATTTTCGATGTGGATCGAACGTGACGCATCCTGCAATATACCTGCAAGCGAACGAAGGCCGTTGTTGAGGCGATAAGTATGCGGACAACACCGACCAACGACGACTTTGTGTATTCACTTGGCAAAAAAAAAATAATAATAACATTTATGAGAGGACATAAACGAACAACAATTTTTCAAGTACTAGTATTTGCACCAGCCTTATTTCCCACTACTAAGCTAGTAAAGCAAGCTCTGGAGCTCGCCTTTTGATACAAGTAATTCAGTCCAAAGTACTCAATCCAGCTCCGTACATTCAGGCATCCATTCCAGGTGGTAGGCTTTTAGGGAATGGGTTGAGCGTAATGTATCAGAAAATGATGATGCTGATAGATTTCTGTATTTCAAAGCTACTTTTTGATGTTGGTGATGTCGTAAGCGACGAATGTGAGAAAAGAGAGACGGAGGATGATCTTGCTCGGTAACGCCGTCAACAACAGAGTGCTGTCCACAACATGAAATTGGTTGAAGCAAAAGAGAGATTTGATCGAGTGAGATTGCTCTGCCACCGACAAGTGGCCATCACTTCTTCCTCTTTCAGTTTTTCTATAGTACTTCGGATATACGTCATTTTGAATTTTACAATTTGCCGGGTGTGCGAGGCTTTCATTGCCGAAGCGTTGAACATTTGCTCATTTTTCTTTGATCGTGCATGATTACTGTTGAGCCAATCACATGCAAGCATTGGCACGTTTGTATCCTGCACTCTTTAATGTCGTCACAATTAGTGACGTGTTCGGGCTCGCAAACATCGACTGCTACCGCCTGCTAAAGCTGTCTACGCGTCTTTGGCGGGCACGAAGGCGTTGATAAGTGCTCATGCGACAAATGCTAATTACCATTTATTAAGAAGTCGCTTTAAATAGTGCCTGTAACGGGGTAGCCCATTATATGATATCGACACCAAACGGTGTCAATAGGGATATTGTCTAGCATGACAATATCTTACCAATTTTATCCAAGATGGATAATAATGAAGGAATACTATCCCCGTCTGGATAATATTCATTCGCTGCTCCAAGATTGGTTGATAAAAGACATATTAACCATGGATTACCACCAACCGCTGCTAGACGCGCGCAATGAGTGGTGAGCAGGTTGTCGTCATACGACGGCGTAGTTTAGTATAGTTAGATAAAGAGTAAAGTTTATTAACAGCTTAACTAAATTAAATTCAGTTCCCTTGTTACCTTTACTTGACCGAGTCGTTCAGTAAATTAGCTTCCTCTGCACGTACTAGTGTACGTGAAGTTTCTAGCACCCAGACAATGGGTGCCCCGTTGCAGTGCCGCGAATGAGCGATCTATGTAGTTTGGCTATGGGGATCCTAAAAACAAGCAAATCGCCTAATAAATTAGTGAATAGCCTACAGGCGGTAGAAGGTTAACCCATACGTGGAATAAAAGGATTTTTAGCTTAAATAGAAACAACAGATGATTAGAAAAGATTTTAACTAATCTACATAGAAATTGAGCAGTAGCCAAGCGAAGTGTACCAGTACGAGCGTGAAGAGTCGCAGCCTGCGACAAGTGTAATAGCGAACTTGTCAGAACGAGCTGCTGTAAAACGACGAAGGCAGCTGAAAATATGATCAGCGATGCTGCAGTGGATGAGAAGCCTGCAGACTGGAAGACATGTACGCTGAAGGAGTGGCCGCTGCCGATAGAACTAATTTCACCAACACCTGTTGAAAGTAACTACGCAAGCCGGCGAGAGTACGGCGCAGCGGTATACCTGAGGTCACACGTCATAAAGCGTTGGAAGAGCCAGTTTTCGAATGAGGAACGCGAGACGAACCCGGTGTACGATCTTCGAAGGTTTGTTACCAGACAGAAGCGTGGAGCATGATTTCAACATGGTCCAGGCCGTCTTGGCTGGAAATGGTGAACGATCACGAGAACGAACCACTGTAAAAACCACCCGATCAGTATGCAGCAAGGAAGGCACCAAGTTAAAGATGAAAGCGACCAGGAATTATACCAATGGATTTGCGTAAAGAAGCAGCAATGAAGAATAACTGGCGAAGGATATCTACATTACTGTAAGTAGCAGCGACGAGAAGTTGCCGGAACCCGTTACACGGCAGTGGATTTT